GCCGGCTGCAACGAGGCCGCAACTTAAAGTCGACGTCTTAACAATGCAGTGGAGCAAGTGCTCTCCAGCAATCGAGTGGCATTCGAGTCGCCGTCAGCTCAGGCGAGCCGTTGCCATGTCCATCTTGGATGTTTTACAGCCTTGGCATCGACGGTGCCGTATCCATATCAGGTTCACGCCATGCCGAGGCATATCTCGATAACGGGACGTCGATTCGAACGAGTGCATGAGCTCGGACTTTGTGGCGTGGGTGGCGTGAGTTTGCCCGCGCCATGGCGGCGCCACTGGACGCTAAGGTCCGTCCATGTTGGTGCTGAATATACACAAGCCACGCAACAGCAAATCGTTCGCCCCGACGGATGCAATCCTTTGCCTTCCACGTATGGTCGACCTGTCGTCCGCCGCAAAAGTCCATCCACTTCGTAGTGCACATCGCTCGCCACGATCGGCACGCCATCGTATCTCGGCCGCGTTGAAAGAGATTCGCGAGAAGATTCCACGTCCTCCGTCGTTCCAAGCGCTTGACGACGTGGCAGGCGTAAAGACTGCAGGCTCGCCGCAACCCGTATGCCGGCGCGACTCGAGCTCTCTCTTCCCTGATGGATCGCCTTAAACCACGTGCCAACGTCATTTTGCACCAACCCCGTGGCAACGTCATGCTGTCAGATGTCGGCAACTGAGTTCAGCTCGGCCACCTACACCCATTACGCCGACGACTTCGTCACGTCTCTGGGGGAGGTGCCTCCGCGATGCCCACCGAACACTCGATGGAGGCCACCGTGGTACTCGTGCACCAGCCCTGGCACGCAACTCAATCGACGCGCGAAGAACTCATTTGACAACATTTGCCCACGATGCTGCGATGGATCGAGAGGTACTGGACAGTCCATGTCGCGCCCGAGTCCACCGACGAGGTGGAGGCCGAGCGGTATCTGGTCGTGGTGCCGACGGGGGTGGCTACGATCGCGCCCGTCAAGTGCGTCGAGTTCAGCCGATGGCATCTCCTGGTCACGTCATGCTTTGCCATGTTTGCTGCTGGGACGCTTGCCGCGTACGCCATCCTTGGCGATGCCCTCGACGTGCACTTTTACGCGGCCAAGACGGGCGATTCCGCCACTGTGTTGTACCAGACGTACATTTGGATGGGACTGTGCGCAGCAGTTGCGGGGCCGTTCGTGGAGCGCCGAGGTCCGCGCATTGGCATGGTCGTTGCCACGGCGATGCTTACGGTTGGATTCACCCTGGCGCAGCTGGCTGTCACGACAAAGTGCCCGGCGTTGCTTTTCATCGGGTCCTGCCCGACGTCTTCCAGACGTGGCTGACGACAGCATTGTAGGTATGGCGGGTTTTGCGGCGGCGGGTTTGGAGTCGAGATTGTGTCGACGATGGCGGCGTCCCAGAAATGGTTTCCCGACATTCGCGGGTTGACGGCGGGAGTGTGCATGTCTGCGTTTGGCATGGGGAGCTTTGCCGCGGCGTGCACGTACAATGCGATATTGCATCGCAAAGGCAGCGACGAAAGGGCTGCAAGTGCACGGCACCTCCCGTTTGTGTTTTCGTCAGCAGGTCTGGCTGCGTTCTTCCGTCCCCCTCGCCCAGCTCACCGCTTCCACTCGCAGGACTGGTGCTCGTGCTGCTGTCGATCGTGGCGACGCTGGTGATCCGAACGCCTCCAGTTTCCTTCACCATCAATGGCCACGACACCCACGGCGTCCCAGCCGGCAAAGCGCCGAGTCCATCGCTTGTCCAGGACGCGTACCTCAGGAACGGTTCGTTCCAGCCCGTTGCGACGCCATGGGCTCACGTCGAGATCGTTGTAGGGATGACGCTGGTCAACTACACTGCCGTCCGAGAGGCGGTCGATGGCACGGACATGGCGTACTTTAAGCAAGTCAAGGCGCTGTCGCTCATGCAGTGCATCTGGTCGATCGACTTTTTCTTCCTGTACGTGGCGTTCGCGGCCAGCATCATTCCCGCGATGGTGTTTTCGAGCGAGCTCGTCGAGCTCGCGACCGTCGTGTTCCATCAATCGGTGGAAGCGACAAACACGGCGCGCGTCCAGGGCTTGAGTACGTTTGTGTGCATGGCGTCGCTCACGGCGTTTCGAGTAGTCGTGATCTTTGCAGGCCAGCTCGTGATCCCGGTCATGTCGGACTTGATCATTCGCATCTTCTACGCCAACCCGGCATCCGCTCGCAAGATCATGTTCTTCGCCGTCCTCAGCGCCCAACTCGGGTCGATGGTGGCCCTCTCGAACGACCACATGACGTTCGAGTCCGTGAAAGCGCTCGCGTTTACGTTTGTGTTTTGTTCGGGCGGGAGCATGGCGCTGATCCAGTGCTTCATCACCGACATGTTTGGCGTGTATCACGCCGGCACGATGTACGGGCTCATCGTTACGTGCTGGTCGTTGCGCGCGGCCATCGTCGGGTATGGCTTTGCCGATTTTCACGTGTCCCGCGAATCGTTCCTGCGCCAAATGCAGTGGATGCTGGTCGTCGTGGCGATCGGGTGGGTGGCCCTCTTGCTCGTCCGGACCAACTCGATCGATCGGTTCTTTGACGGGTACAAGTATTCGATCTGTGGCAAAGTCGTGGTGCAGTTTAGTTTTGCTCGCCGCACGCCCCACGGCAAACCACACGTCGACAGCGATTCCGTCACGGTGGTGGCGCCGTCGTCCGGCGACTGGAATGGGTACACGATCTGGGATGGCTACGATGAGCTCCGAACGAGTCATGCCCACCAACACGAAGCCCAACAAGCGTTGTAGATTTCTAAGCCTTGAATCGATCTCTTTCTGGTAGAATTGCATGAAACAACTTCCCCTGACAAGTCGAGTCCACCGTGTAGTTTGTGATTTCCTTGGTAAGCCAAGGGGGGGAGGCGGCACGAAAGCTGTGCCTGCAGGTTGTGGATCAAAACACGTCAACCAAAACACGACTTCTTTGAAAGGCAGGGGGGCGGTGGCCGTTCGGCATTCTTCCAAACAGGTCAACAAACGGCAGGGATCGATAGAGGCGATCGCGGGTTGTGCGCTTGCCATGAAGCTGGTCTTTGCCGCCGCGGCGACCATGATATGCGGCTGGCCTCCGTGATACCAGCCCCGTCGTCCGTCGGATCTAGTGCGTGCAATGTGCTCTTTCGCCCAAAGCAATCGACGTTGGCATCAAGCCGCCGACGATCTCCATTGCCATCGTCTCGAGCCATGAACCTTTCATTGGCATCGAACCGACTCGACCGATGAGGCATCTACACAGCTATCTCTGCTCACCAACCATTGGAACAACGACGTTCGAGGTTACATGCAATTCACAGCACCTCCATGATGCCATTATCGTCTTGTGTTACGAGCACACGCCCCCGTTCCAATAAATTGATGCCACCACAAGATGCCGCGATGCGCGTAGGCGACCTTGGCACAGAGTGGTGCGCATGCCTCACGCAGTGTCATGGCCAATGCAAGTGTGTGTGTGGCTGTGGCGTCATGCTGGAATGGCGAGTGAACGACGGTCGGGGGCTTTGAGTCGTCTCCGCTGGCCACAGCATGAAGTCGTTGTCGGAAAGGGAATGCGCGGCGCCGGGCGCGGGAATTGTCACAACGTCATGGTCGTCCAACGCGTTGGTGTTTGGATGGAAGGCGTATTGAAACACGATGCGGCCGCAGATGGAATACTGATACCCGACGAAGAACCGGTCCATCGAGTTGGTTCGAACAAACACGAGAGCCACCCATCCGACCAGAGCCATCCCAACCATCCATTCGAGCTGGAGCTGAAACGACGCCGCCGTGACTTGGAAGGTCGAGAAGGCGTACCCGACCAGAATCGCCCGTAAGGACCAGCACGTGAGCAGGAGACCATACATCGTGCCGGCATGGTACACACCAAACATGTCGGTGGCAAAGCACTGAATGATAGCCATGCTCCCGCCGGATGCAAAGACAAAGCTCAGTGAAAACACGCGGAAGGCCGTGAATGCCATCGTGGCTTTCGGCGCCATGACGAGATAGACGACCTGGTACGTCAGTACGAGCATCAAGACAGCTTTGCGCGCCAAGGCCGGGTTGGCGTAGAAGATGCGAATGAAAGCGTCCGATATGAGGGGAACGACAAGGCGCCCGGCGGCATTGACCACTACAAGCCACGCGTGGTGTTAGCGCACAGAAATACCACGCGGCATGCGCATACAGACTCCGGTCGTCATGAGCGCGTTGGTCGCGTCGATCGATTCGTGAAACACGCCCGTGCAAATGTCGACGAGCTCCGTCGACAGCACTTGAGCCGGGATGATTGTGGCCGCAAATGCCACGTACAGGCACAAAAAGTCGGACGAAAAGATGCATTGGAGCAGCGACAGCGCCTTGACTTGGGCAAAATAGTGCATGTCCGTGCCTTCCAATTCGCGCTGGACGACCGAGTAGTTGACTAGTGTCATGCCTAAGCATGGATGAGCCGCCGCACGACGACTCGATGGGACGGATGGCCCACCGAGTTTGAGGTACTCGTCTTCGATATGTTTGGGGTCCGGCGCCTTGGTCTCCGGGACGCAGTGGATATCGTGGCCATTCACAGTGAATGTGCTGGGCGGGGTCCGAATCACGAGCGAGGCGAGAACAAGCGCCAAAACGATCGCGAGCCCTGCGATTGTATTGTTCAGAGAGAGGCTGCCGTAGGTGTTGGGGTGTACCGTTGCTCCAGAAGATGGTCGGGACGTTTGTGACGTCCGTGACAGGATCGAAGAGACCTCGACGATGCAGGAGCTTGGTGTAGATGGCAGTCCACATGGCATTGCCGACGCCAAAGGCAAACATGAGGACGCCGGAGACGAGGCCGCGCAGGTCGGGGAACCACTTTTGAGTCGCCGCCATCGTAGCAATCAACACCAAGCCAAACCCGGCCCCGCAAAAGACAGCATACCTGCAATCGTAGAGGTCGTTTGGGTCAACACCGATGACCTCTAGTTCGTACCCGACAGTGAGGAACGTCGGGCTGAACGCGCCGACAGCCAGCTGCGACATAACGAAACCAACCGCGATGACGACGGTCCCGGCAGTCATGCCGAATCGAGCCCCCCGCTTCTCGACGAGCGGCCCGGACACAGCGGCGGACAATCCCAGCCACACATACGTCTGCAGCTGGATCGACACAGACTCCTTCGTCTGGCTCCCGTAAAAGTACACGTCCAGGCCGTCGTAGAGCGAAGTAAACGCCAAAAGCGAGCCGGTGCATAAGTTGGCCAGGCTGCACACGGCAAGAAGCCACCACCGCGAGAACTGGAGCCGCGGAAACCAGAAGTACGTCGTGCCATCGAACGTGGCGACAAATAGCCACTGGTCAGCGTCGAGCTCGGCGACGGACTTGGTGGGAACAACAACTTTCCAGTAGTTGGTCACGCAATGTAGCATCGTGGAATGGGCAGACCGCTCGGAACGGGCCACTCGGTGGGGAATCGAAAACTGAAAGCGACAGGGTGGTCCATGCCAGTTGGTCCAGCGTGTGGTGGCCGTACAAGTGTGTTCAGATGCTGCCCCTCATGAGAGCCCATGCTTCGATCGATGAGATTGCCACGGATGCGACGAGATTTCTCGGAACGTTCGGCTCCTCTGCACAAGATCGATAGTCGAATTGGATCGCGAGTCATGTTCAGAAAGTACCGACATGCAATTCATGCTGTCATTCGCAGCATGCACGCCTCAACGACGACAGCCAACTGATTGTCTGGCTTGTCTTTCTTCATCGAGAAATGGCAGGAATGCATTGGTCGCCATGTGCAATTCGATGCCCGAAGTGGGCATGACGACTCGCGCGAAGTCGATTTGCGATCTCGTTCCTGGTGGTGACCGCCCCGAAGCATGCGATGGCTCGATACTTCAGTTTGTTGTTTTATAAACACAGTGTTGTCAGCCAGGAGGTCCAACCTCGGACTGGATCGCTGCCTATTCCACGGCATAAGGGCATCGTAGCTGGCGGAAGCGCCAAGGTCCTGATCGATATTGCTGTCTTTGAGTGCGTCGTTGTCGATGCGGCGGCGGTGCAAACGTGCATAATTCACTAGGACGTTGCCACAGTTCGACGTACTTGGACCCGTAGCAAAACCATGGGACGCCTCACAAGTCGTTCCGCCATTCCATCGAAACCACGTCGTAGGTCTCTGCATCCCGCTTCCCTCATCTTGACGTCGTGCTTCCCGGGCGATTCTCACCATGGACGTCGCATGGCGCGACCTTTCAGTTGTTGTAACCGACGACGCCGGCGTATCGAAACCGTTCGCGTGTGCCGTTCGCGTGTGCCGTTACACTTGTCGAATGGTGCGAAAAAGGCCTTTGGTCCTTTGCGCCTCCTCCACATCAAGCAGACTCGCCATCGACCGTGAGTACCTCGCCTACTCTTGGAGCTTTCTCTCACCAACGGCCAGGCCCTTGTACAACCGCACTAGTTTTGGCGTGTTACTTGTCGACATGGTCGATGCAAGCTCCTGGAGCGCTGGTCTACCACCTTGCTCGAAGTCGATGGATTGCCAGACGAAATATTCGACAGCGACGCGTCCTGGCCATGTTTGAATCGGGGGGTTCGCCCGCCGTGTGTTTTATCATCGAGCTCACCAAGTTGCCTTGGGCGATCCGTGAGCTGTGCACAGAACGGTTTGAGCTGTGTCGAACGAGCGCCACGTCGACGGCGAGGCGGAGTACAATAACTGCGGCGAATGACTTGAGGACGGTTCTTCGCAACACGGTCTAGGCCGCGTCCACTCGGGCGTACCAAGACACAAGGGCCATTGCCATCGAAGGAGTCTTGCGAGAGCGGCAGGCGGCAAACAGCGGCCTCTCCACACCAAGGCTTTGTGTACTATGGACGAAGTGGCGAGTACAGCCTCGTGCAAAGGACCCGCACCACGCGCATCACCTCGAGCACGATGGGCTTGACTTTTTCAAGCCGTCAACTTCACAGCGCCGCAAGTTGACGAGCTTGGGCTCATTCACAAAACATTGGACCAATTGGCCGAACGGTGGTGCGTCAGCGATTCAGCGCCCGTGCAGTGTGGCTTTTGCACCCGCCAAATTTCCACGCGGACAGCCAGCTCATGTCGTAGGATGGAGACAACTTCCTGTGCCTGGAAAACTCCCACAACCTTTCCGCGCCATCCACTTGACAAACTCTGAGCTCAAACTGCTCATGTTCGAAACTTGGCACACCCACATACTGCGGCATTCACCTTCTTGGCGTCTGGCACACGAAGTTCATGTTGATGTCTACGCCATCAAAGTTGAAAACCTGGCGGCATGGGGGGATTCATTGCCCATTCCGTTGGTCACGGAGGTCCCACGTACATGCAGCGTCGGCGCCTCGATGTCAGCTAGGACGTCGCTAGTGATGTCCGACATTCTTCCCGTGCTGTCGAGCCGGCGACAATGCGAACCTATGGGTAGTATCAACGATTACGCAGGTTGAGGAGGATGGCGTTGAATGTAACCCATGGGTGCAATGAAGAATAAGCACTCCACGTGCTCCAATTGCTCAGCCCACCGCGACGACGCTTCACGACGCAACTGCGTTCTTGGGCTACCTCACCAGCTCTGGCCATGGCAGCGTCTCGTACATAGGGGCCTCCTCCGTAAATTGACGCCGACAACTTCTACTGGGCGTCCTTCACCATGACTGCCCTTCACGTCGTGCTGGTCGATGAATTCAACCTCAAGCTATGCTGGTGCCTTGTCGACGCACGTAGATGGTCCCAAGATGGACGTCGATGCTACTTCGCAGCGACTTGAACTCGAACACGTCGTCGCGAACGCCGGGAGTGGGCTGGATCGTCTCGTCCATGCGTTGAGCATCGAGAAAGCATTTTGTTGGCACGATCGCATGCCCAAACGGTGTCGGGAGCTGTACGTGGGCCAGGCCGCTACCTTTGTCATGTTACTCAAATTTGACATCGACAACACCATTGAGAGCCTGGCTGGACTAGCCTTGACGAGGGTTCGGTCGCTGCTGCTCGGTTACAGCATCTTCATGGGTTTCCAGCCGTTCGACTTGTGTGGAGCTGGCTGTACGTGATCAAGTAGACTGTCGGAAATGGAGAACTCGCTCAAGATGACATCATCAACACGTCGACCAGGGTCGACATTGTTTCCTGTGAAAGCGGTGGAGATGCCCACAACTTTTGGCACGTGCGCTCGTTCGGGGATGCAATTCGATCATACTGGCTGTTGCAGTGTTCGCGGGGCTGCTATCGATTGTCGCGAGTCGTAGGCGAGTGAAAGGGGCCAACAAGTTGGAGCTGCTTCATGTCGCTGGGGTCGTGTGGGTTGGCCACTGATCCTCCTCGGCGGCATCGTAGCGCTGTTCCTTCGGATCAACGCTCCAGTTCGAGTCGTGGGGACAACTACACTGGCTTCCACCTGATGTCCTGAAGATGTACACCCAGCAGTACACGCAGCTCTATGCGCCGATTTCAACGTAGCTCGTATGGCTGGACCCGCCATTCTCGCGCAGGCTTCTCCCATCGTCCACCTCCGTGGCGTCTCGATCAAGTTGCTGCTCGTGTGCGAGACTTTACGCATCTTGTGGTGCCACAAGCATAACAAGCTATGCATACGCTCACGGACAAAGTCGACTCGATCGAACGCGCGGGTGTCGTTGTTGCTCCGTTCTGGTGCCAAGTATGGACAACCACGACATTTCTTTCATGGACAGCGCTCCTGCACGAGTTTCCCTTTAGCTTCATGGCACATCGAGGACGTTCGTTTGATTTGGTCGGATTGCATTGTGGGGACAGATCTGCACGAGTTGCAACTCGATGTGTTCCTGACTTCCGCTCCAGCACGTTGGGTTACACACGAACGAGGAATTCGATTGCATTCATGGGGACTGGAGACATCGAGTCATGCCAACGTCATGATCATCCGCCACGTTCATCTACAGTCTTGTCAAGCGGAGTTGGTTGAATCCGCACACATCGACGTGGGTGGGTTCTCGAGGCGCCGAGACAAACGCGAGCGCCGTGTCAGATGCGATATACGTTGCCTTCCACACGTGGTTTGAGTACGTGTCTTGGCGATAGCTTTCGCCGGGCTGCAGCACAGCGTATTGGGTCTCAGTTTGGTCCGAGTCGACCCATCGGATGGATAGCACGCCGGGCGTGCAGTTGGCAAACTCGAGCACGGTCGGGATCGAGTCGGAGAGATCGCCGGGTTGCATGGGCTGGAGGTTGGCGCCAATTACAATTTGATTCACGCCGTGGATGTCGACGACGCTATTGGTGAGCGGCGCGAGGAAGTATGCGAGCGGTTCTTGAGTGTCCGAGAACGCAATCTTCCACGAGTGCTGAGAGATGGTCGGCTGCTCGTACCGATGGCCGGGTTCGATGCGATTGTAAAAGTGCTCGTCGCCTTCATAAGCGACCCACACAATGTCGACGGCACGGGAAGTGCTGTTGATAAAGACAACTGTGGTGTCTTGGCCGCCGTCTTGCGAATGGACTTTCACGAGCCAGTCAACTGCAGTTATGTTAGCGTCAAAATCTCCAGGGATCGAGAGAAACAGGTACCTTTGGTGGCCACGGGGGCCGCCACCACTTGAACGGGGGCGTCGATAGGAACAGCGAGTGGGGCTACCTCTGGCACAGCCGTGGCGATCTCCTGACCAGGTGCACTGGATGACGTCGCATAGTCAAACCCATGGGACAACTTGTCGTGTAGAGGGACTGCAGCTACTGGCGCGGGCGGCGGGGCTACGAGTCCTTGAATGGCTTGGATCGGACAGGCCCCAGGGGCTATTTCAAATTTAAGCGAGGAAGCTCACATCAAGCATACTAGTACTCACCAAAGCCAACAAAGGGTGGGGATTGCTGCAAACGCATGTGCAATGGGCGCAACGATCCTGCGGGCTTGCCAGACGCACTCAACAAAAACAGCGTTGGGAGCTCCAAGAGCGCACGGGCACTGGTTTGGACCTGCCCAATGAGCTCGCGCTTCTTCTCCCCATTGTCCATGTCAAACACTTGAGCGAGGAGAGGGCGGTCGAGGTCCCCATTCGCCAGACGTTGGAGGGTCACAGTTGCTTGCTGCCAGACAGGGTTTAAGTTGCCATCGATGACCTATGCGGTCGTGGTAAGGGCGATGCGTCGTCAGGGAGATTGTACTTCTGTGCGAAAGGCAGGCAAGAAGCTCCCATCTTGCACCATGCGCCCCAAAAAGAGCACCCTATTTCAACAACATTTGCGTTTGAAGTACAGAAGCGGACGGAGGACAATACGGGTCGGATTTGTTGAACATGCCGTCCAGGTTGGTGAGGTCCTTCGCGGACCACTGCATGACGAGAACGTCCAATGTTGGGTTCATGAGTTCGGTTTGTACGTAGACATTGAGAGGGGGCTGCTCCTTCTTGAACAACCCACGAGCGCCGCCCCCCGACGTCCGCAAAGTCGTGATCTGCGCCAAGTTGTCCACGAGTTGCTTCACGGGCACTTCGACAATGCCAAGCAGGTCTTGATCCTTCAGGCTCTTTGATGACGATTTCTCTTCGTCATACACTTCGATCTTGAGAATTTCGCCGCCCAAAGGAGCGTCCACTTTGAAGCTTTGTAAGAACGATGGGTTGGGGACGTTGTGGATCGTCTCTGTGCGACCGACCGGGGCGCCTACCCGTCAAGGTCACGTCGAGCATGCGCACAACGACGACTAATTATATCGAGGTACCGTTCAAGTAGAGCACAATGAATGCGTCCGCCTTGGGTTTCAACCCGCCGACGGAGAATTGCACTTGGAAGCTTGCCATCTTTCCACTCGCCTCGCAAAAAGATAAATGCGATCAAGTTCAAATTATGTACAATTTTCCGGATAAAATGGTATTTCCACATTCATTCTGGAGATTGCAAACAAGCAACGCAGACGCTTTCTGGGTCGCTGACTTCATTTATCCGGGCGTTCCATGAATTCATCGAACCCCGGGTCACTCGACCGCATCCTACACACATTCGTGCATTTCATCCAATCGCAATGGTGGACTGCACAGTCACTTGACCCATACAAACTGGTATATATAAAATGGCACAGCCTACTCTTTCTTCCGTTTCTGCGCAGACTCGTCCGTGTCGTCGGGAGGTGGTGGCGGCGGCGACTTGACATCGTTATGCAGCTCTTCGCGCGCGCGCTTCTTGCTCTTGATGGATGAGTCTTCCTCACTCATGCCACTTTCGTCTTCTTCGCTCAAGGTCGTGTCGTCGTCCTTGTTACTGTCGTCCTGATCGTCGTCCCCTTCAACGCACCCGAGGTACTCGACCGAGAGTTGCGGCTCCACGAGCCATTTGGACGGCTCTGGGTGTTTCGTGCGTGGGGATGGGGCCCACAGCTGCGCGACTTTCTTCTCCACCGCCGCTGCGCTGTTGGACGGCGATGCGAGCGGCGTCTTGCGTAGAACGCCGGACGAAAACTCCATCCAGAACGCACCTTCGCCTTCTTCGTCAAAGATAGGTTTCGCTGCTGTAAAGTACGCGCCTTTCTCGAGCGGCGCGTCCAGCTGCGACTGGTACAGCGCCGCGAGCTTTTGGCATGCGTCGTCTGTAGCCATGTGCTGCATTTGCTTGAGTAGCAGCGTCACAAGCTTGTCCATTGTAAACAAAAAGTACGACGACGACCCCATGAGGCTGCGGCAACAGTCCTCATACCTATCCTCTCATCAGTACGCCCCAGGCGACAGAAGGCGTACCGCGGGCTCTCGATGGACTGATCGATCAACGCGTACAGCTTGGACATGAAGGCTTCGTAATCGCCGGTCTGGCTGTCCACTTCGGCTGACGCCACGTGATGCGCATGAGCGAGCATGGCGGCCGCAGGGTTGATTGTGCGACGATTACGATTGCGCTTGGCCTTTTCACACAGCTCCCGCGCCTGCTCGAGGCGGCTGTACAGGACGTGGTAGAGCCGTACAAATACAAAAGCTGCTTCGCTAAAGAATCCACGGGACACAGGCGCTACACCACGTTTCGATGACCCAAGCAACAGGCATAAAACTCCATCGTACCAGAATCGCGCTCGTCCGACACGACCACGTTGGGCGGGAAGTCGGCAGCTTCTTGAATCGTCAGCGAGTCGACTTGCACGTATGCGACACCGATGGGCAACTGCACCGTTGCGATGCCGTTCGTGGTGTCGATGGCTTTGATCATACCCTCGCCAAAGTCGCACACGACCTCGGTACCTGGCAGCAGAGACTTGGCCTTGGACGCAGCCACCGTCGACCGGACCTAGAAGACACATGTTTATTCACCCCCTTTCCCATGCACCCGGATCGATGCGGCTCTGCCAGACATCGCGTACCGGCTTGCGTTTGAGCCACGACTCATCGAGTTGGAAGAACGGGAAGAAGAATTGGGTCCAGATCTTGCTGATTTTTTCCTTGTCGCCAGCCATCTTTTCCGCCGCGTACGTGAGGAGGCCAAATGCATCCTTGTGGATCTTGGCGGCCGGGAAGGCGAACGTGGCGGCGGGATCCTTCTTATCGAGTGCCTTCTTGGCTTCACTAAGAAAGTGCTTTGCAGACAATGCTTTCTTGTCCTTTTGCTTGAAGTAAAACGACGAGTGGTCGAGGCTCTTGTGGTAGTTCTTCTCGTTCACGTCCTTCCACTGTTTGTTCAGGTCCTGCCGCGCCCGCCGCCACTCTTCGTCCTTTTGCTGGAGACGCTTCAAGATGACTGGGATTGCGCCAGCGGGGTGCTTGGCCAGCAGTTCGAGCATTTGATGGCCTGCGTTCGTTCGAGTGAGGGCATGCCACCATGTATCCGCAGGAAAATCCGTACCAGCTTCGCCGTAGATGCGCGAGATCGCATTCAAGTGCGTTACGCGCAGCGTTTGCTTGTCCAACACGTAGTTCCATCGAGTGTCCGACGAGAGCACGGCCAACTCCTTTGCCAGCGGCGCCAAAATCGCAATCGTGGCCGCATTCGCATCGATCACCATGTCGATTTCAAATCTACACGCATTTGTGTCAGATATGCACATGGCGGTCGCATCGACGCACCGTTCGTCTTCGCACTTGAACAGCGCTTCTTCGTACTGGTTCTTCCGCATGCTCTTGAAGCTAAAGTCTTCCGACCCAGTCGGGACACTCACCCATGCGTCGTTGCACACGTTGCGTTCCATGGCGCTGCGAAAGCTACAGGGCGGGAGGGGATAACTTGCCGGCAGCGCGCGGTAGCTCGGGGTGGCGCGGCGGCACTGGGACAGATCCGTCTCGGCGAGTGGAATGAACGGCCAGATCTCGCCACCCGAATGATCTTTTGCTTCGCCGTGGGTCTGGAGGAGCGCGGTAAAGTCGGCAATTACGTCCGTGTGCCGGCCGAGGAGATTCTTGACCATCGTGAGGAGGTCGTCGCGGCCGACAATCTCCTGGGCGTACAGTTCGAGGCACTTGAGGAACTCGCGCCAACTATCGCGTGATGGCAAGACCTTCTTGATTCGTTCAAACATGTTCCACTCGCTCGGGTCCATCAAGGTTTGGTTCATCGCGAGGAGTTCGCGGCGCGGTGTGTCGGACGCGCTCTTGTGTTTGCGCTTGAGGTCGTACGTGGCTTTGTTGCGGCCGCGGTCGCGCTCCTTTTGGACTTTGGATCGACGGAGCTCGTCCTTGTCGTCTTTTATGGATGTGGGAAGAGACGACGCCGGGGCGAACGGCTCCTTCTTCACTTGGCCCACGTCTCCCTTCTTCACGCCTTTTTTCGACTGTTTGAACGGCAGGTTGTCCGTTTTGCCGCCGCTTCCGCCGCTTTGCTGGGCTAACTTGGATTGGCGCAACTGCGCCTTCTCGGCAGCTTTATTCAATCGCTCCTTGGCCACCTCTTGGACAGCGTCGGGAAGGAAGAACGTAAATTCTCGCAAGAGGTCGGGGTGATCACGAAAGAGGAAGCTGACTTGGTCGAGGACTTGTTTGATCGAACCCTGTTCCTTCTGGTACGTGTGCAGGATTTCCAGGAATGCTTTGTACGTCTCGGGCTCGTCAGCGAACCGCTTCTTGATTGTGGTCACGTAGAGGATGGCATGGTCGAATTCGACGGGTGGCGGAAGGCCCTTGGCTTGGGCGCTTGCTTGCTGGGCCTGCTGCTGGTTCAGTTGCTTGGACGAATTACTCGATGGTTTTTTCACGGACGACGGCTGGTTGGTCTGCGCCGAATCGGAGGGCGGGATGCTCACAGGTGGTGGGCGGAGAAGGCTCATTGAAGACGATGAGGTATTGCCATTCGACGAGAGCGGAGGCAATGTCGCAGTGCCGTTGTTTCCATTGGGAGGACCACCTGGACGCGCTTGAAGCGGAGTGGACGGGACGTTTGCCGCGGACGACGGCGGGGGCTGGGGAACCGTGTACAGGTCCAGCGACTCCGGTCGAATGCGATACCCAGGCGGAAGGAACGTGTTGAAGCCAAAAATGAGGGTCGGGTGTCCCTTGAACAGCTCGGACACGCGCTGGATGACGCCAGGGGTGTCGATACTGTCGACACAGTCAGCATGCCAGAGGTCAACAAGAGCAGCACGTACGTTTGGGACTTGAATTCCTTCATCACGTCAAGAAACTGGTTGTACACGTCGGGTTGGTCGCCAAATTGTTGTTTGACCTGTTGGCCCGCATGAGAGAAGTGTCGGAGAGGATGAAGTACCTGGTCCAAGTACAGCAACGCGTCTTCAACTCGCAACTCGCGAAGGGGACGAGGTAGGCCGCCTTGAGCACTGTTATTGTTTCCTGGCGACGGTTGAACAGTGACGGGTTGCGGTGGCGCTGGCTGTTGAACGACAGACGACTGCTGCTGTGGTTGCTGCTGTGGAGGTCCGGGACGAGAAATATCGGTAAAGTACGGTGGATAGTCGCGTTGGTGCGGGGTGTTCATCTGCATTGGCCCTGAGCTAAAAGGAGGAGGGGGAAGGCCACGGTTGGGCACTCCAGGACGAGACTGCGGCATCGCCGCCAACGTAATGTGGGACGACTGCGGCTGTCTGGGAAGCGGAAGTGGGTGGTGCAGCGAATGCTGATGCGGATGCGAGTGGCCGCCGTGGAGAGGATGCGGATGTGTATGACTTTGCGATAGATGCGTCATATGCTGGTTCAACAGCGACTGGGGTGCTCCAAGACTCGGGACTTGTACCCCATTCGACGATGACGACTGGCTAGATGTCGATGGTTTCGGCGCCATCGGCACAGACGACGAGGACGATGTCTGGTTCGGTTGGTTGCCACCGGGAGGAGGCTGGCTTGTCGGCAGCACGTTACTTCGTGGAAACGACGGCGGGTTGTATCCTTCCATCGATCTCGTCGCCGCACACTATCCGAAGTGCTTCAGCGCCCGCAACTGGGAACGTCCGGATATTGCTATCCGTATACCGGATAAGAAGAGCGGTCGGTTAAGTACGCTTTCTGCCGGCGTATTAAGTACAATCAAGTGGAACCAGCTATCCATGGCAGGGGATCCTCGCCAGCTCATGGGGGGAGATCTCGACCGTCTCTATGTACAAGCCGATGCACCGCATTCGGGGTTCGATAGCGCGTTCTTGGTGATGGGATGAGGTCATGACGACGTTGAAGTCGTACTTCACAAGGAAGCGAATTGGAAATTCAATGTGGAGATCCGAATGAGGCTGCTATTTTGCATCGATTCTAACTTGTACAAGATATTTAATACAAATATAAAGTATAAAACTGCATCCTTCATGGGATAAAGTTTTTCAATACGTGGCATCCTGTCGTGCGAGGAGGTTCTTTGGCACGTCCTGGGCCACCCAAATGTCGAGCACTATTCCTTCCGCATTTCAGCCTGAGGCGCCGTTTGCCCAGCACGTCGGTACGAGGTCTTGTCGAGAGAAGCAAGGCTCCATGACCTGATGCTTTCAGAACGCAGCATCGACTCGGTCCGCCCATGTCCTGGATTTCCTCTGAGCGTTTTTGGTGGCGATGGCATGCATGTCGGTAGGAACAGTGACGTTCGGACGTCTGCACATTTCCACAAGTGCCACGGAGGAGTTTGTCCTGCCTAAATACGTAGCCGAGCTGATTGCTCGCCTTCAAACCAATGCTCGTGGGGGTCGCGAACATCCTCAAACGCGTCAACAATGCGATTGCAGCGATCGACTTCGCTATATCCTAGTCGTTCTGACATCACTGCGGACGAAATTTCTTGATTCGGCAGTGCCGAGACCATTGATTCTGGCGCGCACGTTGCTGACCGTTCATGCGACGTGTTGATAAACCAAATGCCAATTGACGCTTCTCCAAGGAATTGGGTTCACCATAACAATTCCTGCTTTGTACTTGCGTCGACAGTCCGCATCAAACATGATCATAGAAAGCCGGCGAGATGTCTCTATGTCGAACCAGCTGCAAAAGCCGTGTTTGAATCTCCTGCAGCAGCACAATAGGTGTTGTCACGAGGTCTTCAGTCCACGAAACTTCGCCTTCTGAAGACTTCACTCCCCGCATCCACATCGAAATCCATACCTTTCATGCATCTCCATTGTGTGCCAGGTCGGTCGCCATCGAGCCCCGCACCCCCCGATAGCATCGTTGCCACCCTAGCACGCTCTTGTTGTTCACGTAGTTTACTGACTGAGCAACGACGCCCGTACGTCGACAACCCTTCTTCCTCACGCCCTTGTCAACACGTAGATGTTGCATTTATGGGATATCCACCTAGGCCATCACGTGCGGCTGTGCTGCTCCAGCTAGGCGCGTCGCATTCGCCAGTGTTTCTCCTGCTGTTGGAAGACGATTGCCCGGTTCATAATCGCGGGGCGATGGTGACCTGCATAAAATCCCGGGCACACACAACGTTGTCGCTCCCGAACGCGTCGACGGCAAGCTGCCGCACCTCGTCCATGACTTGAACACTTTTCTCGCTGGCGTCGCCCTTGTATCGGTTGGAGAAGTGATTTAATACCAGACGTTTGCAACCGATGGCCTTGGCGAACGCTCCAGCCAACTCTGGAGTCGAATGGCCATGGGACTTGGCTGTTTCTTCAACCGCTTCACGCGATGAACCAGCTGTGATGTCCGACTGCAGGCACGCATTCGTGGCTTCGTGTACGATCAAGTCGACGTCGTCCCCTTGCACCAAATTCACAAACGCAGAGTCGATTGCGCTCGACGTGTCGCCAAGGATCACGACGACTCGACCAGGACGTGATGGGGCGAGACAATTGTCTGGAGTGAGCACCGTCCCGTCGGGCATGGTCATTGTCTTGCCATTTTTCAATTGCGTCAGCAGCGCGAGGGGGGTTTTGAGTCCCAGGGCGGCACTGTTGCGTTCTAGAATAGGACGGACGAAGTCGATGTTGAGCCGACCAGGAGAAGTGGGTTCCCGAATTAGGTAGCCCACAGTAGGCACGGTGTGCGGGATGGCCGCGGCCGTGACTGTGAATCCATTTATGATGGGAAGGCTCCAGTACGCATGGGCAGAAGCAGTGACTTGCGCGACGTAGTCCTCTCCTTCGACTTCGTCAATGTGGAGTTTTTCGCTCAAGGAGGTAGGCTCCATCAGCAGCTCATGGACGACAAATCTAATTGTCGACATGAGATGGGCCTCACTGAGTGGATGGGAGACCCACCCGGTGCCAATGCGTGTCATCGTGTGCAATAGCATGTTGCGGACGTATGCTTTGGTTCCCTGGGGTCCGTAGACATGCACCGGGTTGGATGTGCGAGACGGTGTTCCGTTGTCGAGAGTGGTTGCATTCGTCGGCGCGATCGACCCTACCGTGGAGAGCAGACCGGGAAGACCGAAGCAATGGTCTCCGTGCAGATGGGTGAGGAAGATGCGCGAGATCTTGGCGAGTCGCGGAGCTGAATTCGCTTGGGTAGTGTTTCCGCGTGCTGGGATCGCCAGATCAGCGTAGTCTGCCATCAAGTTGATGAGCTGGTGCTGCGTGGCTTCGCCACAGTCAAATAGCCACACGTCGTTGGCGTCCGGGCGGAACGCTAGCGACGAGTGATTGCGTGTGGGAGACGGCTGGGCCGAGGCTGTTCCGAGAAACGTGATGTCCATTGCTTCCGATGACACGCGTTGATGGCCGCCACACGCGCCGACGTTTCATGGACCTACATTTCGTGCATTGAGAGTGATGGTTTCCAGCGAACTCTCCACCGATTCGCTCGAGCAATGTGGTCCCGCCACAGCGACAACTCGTGGACGTCCGCGAGGCTGCCTGATGCATTGAATACATTGACGTGGACAAGTCTGCATCTTGCGTTGATATTCACGACTTAATGGTTCTGGCGGAAGGTGCATAAGACGGCCGTCATGTTGTCCGCTTGTTGCCCAAACAGGTCGTTTGCCCGAGACGCATTTTCGTGCATGAATCGTTGTATCCTTTCCGTGGCACTGTCGCCGCACGTCTGGAGAAACGACACGACTTGCGTGAACTGCCAGACGTCCCAAACGCCATCCGTCGCCACCAGTAGAGTTGCCCCGGGCTCCACAGTTGCTTCGACAATGTCTGGCTCGCAAGTGACCCCATAGGCGTGCATGTGGAAGTCTCCTAGGGACCGGGTGAACGCGAGCGTGTCTGGGAACGCTGCGTGCGGCGGAGTCGTGACAACGGACGCCCACTCATTCCGGGCGTTCTTTACGTAGCCTCCCCTGGGCGGTGGCCCTTTGCGCACTTGGCCGGTCTCGTTGATGTGGGCTGGATTGAAAGCGTGGGAGTGGACAACATGATCACGTTTGAAAATTGGCACTCGGTCGTGGGGGTCGGTAGAATGATCAAACATGCACTGCAGCCCGAGGCCAACGTGCTCCAGTCGCTTGAATTCGGTGGTGCAGTCGGGGGCGTGCAACCCAGCGAGTAACACATACGGAGTCCATTCGTCGGCTTGGTTATCGCTTTGGTTGTTGGTGGTCGGATCGTCGACGGGCGATGCTGGAGCTGGTGCCGACCTGCATGCTGCGTGCCATTGGAGATCTCTGGGCGAAATAGTCGTTTGTGCAAGGAGAGCCAACGAATCGCCGACATTGGCCACGATCAGTCGTCGGTGGTGCAGTAGCACCAATGTGGCTGTAGTGCCTCCATACACGCAACGAACGGGCTGCGAGTGACCAGGCGTGCGATACGTAAGGTACCCTCCTCGCTCTTCCCGAACAGTGCAACTTTGGTTTGTGTAAAACGCCTTGAACCGCGTGAAAACGTGCTGATGGCACTCCCGAAAAAGCCGGCGCAAGGTGGGTTCAGGGGCCTCAAGGACCTCGTCCAGCAAAGCAGGGTCACGAAATACCGACGCGAAGTACGCTTTGGCAGCTCGAGCCGCGATCTGACCGAGGTCCGGGCTGTGGCCATCGAACACCCCAACGAGTAGGCAGTCGTCTGACAAGGGGAGCTCCAGGTGCGCGTCTTGGTTCTGTACGAGAGTCGTCGACCCGATGTGCGAAATGGCTGCCACCTCCACGACCATGCCGCCCATCTCCATCACAAGCGCCGCTGGCTTCTCCATGTTTCAAGAAATGCTGGCGTTGTGGATTCACGTGGTAGCAATTTTATGAAAGGTCGCGATAGAAATCGCTTCATTGGCTGAAATGACCAAGATACAGCCAATCAAAATCGTATAATGCATGTTAGCTGTCATGCATCGGTGACGTCGTCGGTGCCGGGCGTCGGCGCCCTCTGTGTCGGCTGTGCCTAAAGTCCCATGACAATGGTGCTTTTCAGTGGTATCGATGTCACCTGGAGGGTCTCGAGGAGCTGGCAGAACGTCTTTTTGAGGCCATGGGTGTCCAACGTCGTCAAGAGGTTTTGAAAGTTCTACAAATTCCACAATCTATGATGACGAGCACGGGCGATGCGCCGTCAAAGTTACTTGATCCATCGTGCGCTTCCGATTGTACTCGTCGACTTTTCGCGCCTGCAATTCAGCCTTGTGCTGCAGCTCCATCGCCTCGCACTCGGCCGTGAGCGTCGCGTGCTGCTGCAAAAGTTGCCGTTCCAATGCGGTGAGTCTGTCGTACTCGCGCGCTGCGGCGTCGAGGTCGGCGATAGAATGCTTCAGTGTCTACATTCGATCCATCCAACAGGGATGAACTTCCACTCCACGGGACGCCGGTTCCCAACGAGTTGTGCAAACCTCTTGTTGGCGCTTGGCTGGTTCTTCCTGGAGCACTTCCTTTTCCACAAACTCCCGCCCGACCGCGTCCAACTTGGCACCAGCCTCGATCTCCTTTGCGTCTAGTCGGGCCAGCATTCCCGTCAAAAACTGGCTTTCATACTGCAATTTGTTGTTCAGGTCGTGTTTTCGTTGGAGCTCGACCTCGAGGGCCGCGACTTGGGCTTGGAGCACGGCATTTTCCTCGAGCAGCGCCTTGTGGTCGAGCCCCAAGCTCGTGCGCCGGACGCGGCCTGGCACCGCTGACGCCATCGATGACCAGAGCTGGCACGTAACTGTCTGTAACGCATGAAACGCCTGCCGTTCGCATGAGACGAGGCGAAGCCGATCGTCGCTCGGCTCCAGATCCACACGATGTGCGATGCGCAGAGGGCAACCCAGCGGCGCTCGATTCGGGCCGAGCACCTCCGTCGCACGCGTTGCATGGTGCGAGCAATGAAATGTGTTTGTCTTCGCCATGACGTGATTTCGTTGCGGTTGTTCACGCCTAGACTACAGTATGTTGGAACGGGCGATATATGCAGCGACTCGAGCTTTCCACTTGCGCCGCTGGACGCCCCAACCATCCACTCGGGCGGATAGCACCAAGGAGATAGGTCAAGCTAGGTACTATAAAGGGTGTGCTCCACGCACCTGCCTGTCGCCACTCGCGCGTGTACGTCAGCGGAGAGGCAGGCGCGTTTCCGCAAGGCAAAAGGACGAACTCAACTGGCTGGTCGTGCTGCTTCGTGTGCTGTCGACGTGCCGTGCTCCTCCCCACGCAAGACATTTCGTGCTGGTGGGCGTTGGGGATGCATGCGGCCAGACCCATCGTCGAACTCTCGAACGCACGTACAACACAAGGGAGTCTATATTATGGGATGGTCGTACTCGAATCGCTTTCGAGTGGGCAGGTGGCCACTTGCGCGGCTAGCAGCATGTCGTGGTCGGATCGAAGAGCGACTCGTAGAGCTGGGCCGTCGACTGGTTGTCGAACGTGAAGCCGCCCATGTGATGCAGCCACGACATGGGGTCGGCCACCGACGTTGGCGAGTTCAGCTCGGTGGCTTCCTTGCCGCCAACGACCGATCCGTCTTGGTCATAGCAGTCGTCCAGCAGCCACAGACTGTCGAGTGTGTCCTCCGAGTCCAAAAAGTCAAAGGCGCAGTCAAAGTCGCCGCCATTTGCTAGGTCCAGCGCAACATCCCCAGTGTCCGTCGAGTCACAAAACGATGTCGTCACGACCATGGGTGTGGCAGCAACGGCCAGTGCAGGCTTGACTGGTGGAGCGGCCGACGGTCGCCGCAGCGGGCTACATGTGTGTGGGTTGATCGCTTGGAATTTGGGTTTCTTGAAAGGCACGGCTACCTTCTTGTTCGGCGACGGGGTAGATCGTGACGACGACGTTTCAGACTGGGCTTTCATCGAAGGAGTATGGTGTTTGTGAAGGAAGGTCAGGGAAGCGGCCGCCGAGTGCAACGATGTCGAGATGTGTGGGGCAGCTTTAGCTGGGAGCAGCGGCAGCGTCGGCGCCGTGGGGGTCGGTTTTTTGCTCAAGGTCGTGGCGTTGTGGTGCGGCATCGTCGCGGGTGTCGCGATCGCTGCGTTTGTCGCCTTGGCAGCCTTCTTGCTGCGATTCCGTTTCCGCTTGCGTGTGCCATTCGCCTTGTGTTCTTCGCGTTCGCGCTCCTCCCGCACCCAGCTCTCGTTAAACGCAGCGCGCAGCGCGTCCAGGTCGGTCTGTCGCTTGGCAGCTTCGACGTCGGACATCTCGACGATTCGCGTTTCGTTGCGCTCAAACATGCGCTTCCCAATGCTTTGCTCGCCGACAAACTTTTTCGAGATGCGCATGGGACAGCATCGCAGCTTGGTGCTGAGCCACGACCGCATCGTCGTTCCGTTCTCGACGTCTGTGAGAAGCCCCGCGGTGAAGTCAGCAATCAGCCGACTCGTGTACGCCTCTTCTTCGGGCGTCCACTTTCCCCACCGCGGCTTGTCCTTGGGCGGGACAGCGGGCTGGTCCACCGGCGTTGTTGTCGTGGCGTCGTGACCCGCAGCAGCAGCGGTGGGCTGCGCCGAAGCCAAGGTCGTTGGAGAGGTGGTGGTCATGATGTGGGGCGGTGGCTCACGCGGGTTTGAATTTGGTGGTGGTTGGCAGGACGTCACTTTTTCGAAACTGACGTGGCCAGACTTTGGAGGTTGCATGAACAAGGCCGTGTCGGGGCCATAGTATCTTGCTAGCCGCCCCCGGGCACGAGCGACGAGTACACAAGGGAGACCGTTCCAGGATTCGAATGGATAGCTATGGCGCACATCCCACCGTGGCGTGCCAGCCCCACTGGCCATTCCCCTGGTTACTACGCCGACCGCCCCACGGGGGTTCGTTCGATTTTATCTCGACATCAACAAATGGTGGCGCGATGATGCGCCATTACACTCGACCTCGACAACCGCGCCCTGGACTCACGGGCGACGGGGGCGCTCCTGTCGCCAGGCGGTGGGGAAGCACCACCGCCGCAGCTACTCCCCAACTCGCTGCTTTCACATCCAGTGCGACCGATGGGTCGATGCATTCGAATAAAAATTCCATACAAATCGCGATGCGAATCGAATTAAAATCGAACTGCCGGGACAACACGGAGGCGAGATTTGCCTCGTTCGCGCGCACAACGGATGCTGGCGTCGCCGCGCTTCGTCAATGTCGTTGGAGATGCATGTTGGCTTGGGGACAGGCTGTATGGCTGTTATGCCGACAAGTGCACGACAGCGAGCGGCCATGGTCCATATGGACTCTCGCGACAGGCCAACTCTCGGCCGACGTATCGCACGTTCGATATCGCGTTCTTCCAAAAATTGGCACCACCTTGTCTGGCCTTGAGCGGAGCCACTCCCCCTCGAGCGTACAGGCATTTGTTGAACTCGCGCGGTATCGCTTGGGGGCCGTGGCGTCCATGGCCTGGTCGTGCGATCCCCGAGAACAACACGCACGTGTGGGTCTGCCATCGACGCAGCGCACGTGCCGACGAGAGAACACGACAATCTCCAACAGATATCGTGCTTGGGGCGGGTGACGTCGCGCCGTTCGCGGCGGCTCCGGGCTAGTAGCTGGAGCCACTGGACGGGATCGACAAGATCGATTGTAGAAGCTTTGCCATCTGCACGCTGGCAAATGCCACGTGCACGGTTTTGACCGACCGACCGCATGCGCCACGGCACGCAAACGGCACGCAAACGACCCTCAGCCATCTCGTCCTACGCTTGGTCACGCTGCCGAGACAATTGCTGGGCCGCTGGCGTCACTCCAAGGTGGGCGCATCCAACGGCTAACAAACGTGCGGCTGCGGTTCGTGTGTGGCGGCGTTTTCATGTGGATGGCAGGCGGTCTACCTGTTCGACGAAATGATGTGACAAAGTACAGTTGCACGGTCCTAAATATCGAAGCCTGTCCAGCCACAAACCGCTCAACCGTCTTCCCACTGGAACCACGACGGCATTGCACACACCCCGAGGCCGCTCGCCTCGCACCGATCGACGGCTTTCTATCCACAGCCAGCCACGTTGGAGGGGCCAGTCTGACGTCGTCGGAAGAGACGAAATCCAGCGGACTCGTTCGAGATGCACCCTCGCGGTGGCCAACAAGCGGACCTTTGTCGGTGCGACGAGCCTCCAACGCCTTTGTGGCGGCTGCTGAAGCCCGGCGCATCTGGTCTTTGTGAGTCACGGGTACCCAGCAATGGGGATGCTGATGCCGCGCCACCAAAGGTACTGCGCCTCTTGCAACACACTGACGCCGATTGTGGTCATCTCCAAAACCCGTCATGCTATCCCGCGACACTTAGCCACCGTGCATCGATGAAGCGGAGGGCCTTGCCACGTGCATGGACTTGCACGTCGACGGGGTGTCGCGGGGAAGAGGAGTGCGATACCCTCCGCTCACACCGCATTCGCCGTCGGCAAGTTTGGACCGCACAAGAATCAAAACGCGACAACCGGATACCACAGGGCCCCGTTATCCGGACATCATCCCTCTTCTCCAATCTCCCGGAACAAGCAAAGAGCAAGCCACGTCGATCCGTTTCGAGCGAAATGCGAGCGGTGGCAGACCACAACTACTGGTCTCCTCTTTGGGCATTTATCCAATGCACATCTGGCTGGTTGGCGGAGGGCCGTCGCGCCAAGTCGACTGTAGTCTTTTACGATGGCATTGCAGTAAAAATCATACAGTACAACACAAAGTTGACGGGCAAATATGGAGTTTACTATGCAATAAAATACTGACTTTTCGTACTTTTCGAGAGGTCCTTCGAGAATTTATGCATTGATTCAACAATGGAATCGACATATCCGGTTAATTCCCGGAAACGTTGGCAAAGTTTATCGCGACGAGAACGGCACGATAATCACGGCGGCGTGTGCCACCGTTGGGGACAAAATGCAATGTGTGTAGCAGTGCTCGTGGCGTGTGAGGCTCTGCGCAAACAATCGCGTTAACAGGTCTCTCCGCTTTGCAGTAAAGGTCTACTCGCAAAGCACGCAAGGCTTGGATTCACCGGTGGCGACACTCACAAAGGATCGCCGTTTTCGCCTCTGGCATTTTCGTGCGACTGGCCATATTTGGATATATTCGAAAAAATTGCCAATGAAAATTCGAAAATGAATTTGATTGGCTGGATGACGATCGTGCAAACGAAGGGGACCAATCAGAGGATGGCGAAGAAACGTACATTGCACGGCCTCGCTGAGCGGCATGGCGTTGGGACGACGAGGAGGGTACTGGGGCGACGTGACGGCCACGATCGACTGGTGCGAGCCCAATTATGCCGTTAGCCCGTACATAGCCGAGTTCTACAACACATGGAGTAACATTTGGTTCATCGTGTTGGGACTCTATGGCCTCCATCGCTCGGTAGCCGAAGGGTTTGAGCTGCGATTCCACCTCATCTACGCCAATATTGTCGTCGTTGGTATTGGCTCTGCGATGTTTCACGGCACTCTGACATTTGTGTATGCCGGCCTTTCGCCTCCACCCTCAACCTCCTCGCGTAGGTCCCAGCAGTGCGACGAAACACCCATGGTCTGGTCGATGCTCCTTTGGTACAGTCCACCACCAGCACCAACGCATAGACTCATGGACGAGTGGAAGGTTTTACATTCTCTATGCCCCGCTATGGCAACATAATGCAGTCGTGGACACGATCGCTGAAATCTCCCTGACGATCGTCGGAATAGCGTTTGCGATTTTGCATGCGATCCACCGCTACACGACGGCTTTTCAACTCCTCTTTGCAGCGTTGGTTGTCGTGTGCTTGCCAAGGTTGCGCTGGTATTACTCCAACTTATCCGATCGTTATGCCAAGCGCGTCGCGGTCACGTACCTCGCAGCCATCCTCCTTGGCACAGCCTGCTGGTTGATCGACTATCACTATTGCGACGCTGCATTTAACCTGTACGGCCACGTGTGGTGGCATGTCTTCATGAGCATCAATGCGTACTGCGGCCCGTTGTTTATGCAGTACGTTCGGGCCGATTCCAAAGGCCAGCAGCCGTCGATCCAGGCCAGCCCGACTGCGTTCCTCGTGACCATCGTAGTAAGCAATAAGAAGACAATCTAACCAGTTGTGAACTGCTCTTCGTATTCATCTGCGTGTTCATGGCAGTGCCACGGGAGTGTCGACGGCCACATGTTACCGTGCCAGGTCATCGCGACTACAGGAATGCCATGTCGTGGCAGAGTGACCAATCGCCCAGTTTATTTTCACCTCTCCCAGCTACACATTTATGCCAAGGTTGCCCAACTGCCCGACGACGGACGGATCGGCCTCGCAGAGGTACTGGACTATGTTGTGATGGCCGTTCTTCCGCGCATTCAACATAGCTGTTCTCATGCTGGCAGGGACGTTGGCTTGGCGCAGGAATTGCACTACTTCTAAATGACCGCTTGCTGCGGCGTACGACATCGCCCGTGTTGTCGCGCCTTCGGGACGATTTTGCAGCAGAAATGTCACCACGTTGAGATGTCCATTGAGACTCGCATGGTCAACAGCGTCTGTCGTGCAAGTCTGGCCTTGTGCATCTAGAAATCGAACCACATCTAGATGGCCATTCTGGCTTGCTCCATCCATGGCCAGTGGCGTGGTGATGGTGTCGGAGTAGTGCTCGAATAGAAACTGCACCATTGCCAAGTGGCCAGCCGTGGCCGCCCACACGAGCGCGTCGCTGGAGCATCCTTCCGTGCGGTGCACTTGCAAGTACGACACGACTTGTAGGTGGTTAAAGCGCGCGGCTAGGTTCATCGCTGCTCGCGTACAGCCGTCCTGTCGATGTTCATGGAGGAATGCGAGAATGGCTTCGTGCCCGTCTCGGGCAGCAACATCCATGGCGTTCGTGGTTCCTGTAGCCCCGTACGTGTGAACGAGACATAGAGCGTCGAGCTGGTCAGCCCACGCAGCAATGTCCACCAAAGGATAACTTGGTGGGAGCTGGATTTGTTGGCAATACAATTGCAAGATGGCTGCGTCACCGGCGTAAATGGCAGACACGACAACGAATGCGCCCATGTTGGACGAAGATGATATCAAGCGAGCAACACGTGACAGGCCATGGAAGGCCAGCCATGGAGCAAAAAGATCGCGAAATCCAACGAGGATCGAGGCGAGTTGCAGGTTGTACGTCGACACGCTCACCTTTTGTGTCAGGTAGAGCACCGAGCGGCCATGCTCCCGAACGTACGCGTTGAGTGCGCGCATGTCTGGATATCCACCTCCTTGGAATTGAACCATACATGGAAGCAAATCCACGTGGCGAAGGACTGCGGCGGCGGCCATTCTCGTGGGTTGATGAACTTGCAAAGTTGTGGTATACCTTTATAATTTTATATGTCTTGATAGTCGATATTAGACCTCTGGCATTCTATACGCTGTCGCGCGCCGTGGGCAATCTCCATGGAGTCGTGTCCTGGATCGTCCACAACAGCGCAGCCGCCGCAGCTCATCGCGGACGGCGCGGTCTATTTCTTACATCAGGTAGAGTCAACGTCGTCGCATCGCTATGGTGGATGACGAAGAAATACCTTGTCCAGGTCAAGCAAGAGTTCGCAGATCGCCCAGACGTGTTCAAGGAGTTCCTCGGGATCATGAAGCAGCTCCAGAGTGAAGCGTACTGACATGACAAGAATCAATCGCTGCGTTTGCATCGATGTGGCTCTCGTTAGGATCGACACGCCAGCTGCCATGCGTCTTGTATCGACGCTCTTCCACGATCACCCCGACCTTCTCGTTGGGTTCAACACCTTCCTTCCTCCCAATCAGCACATCCAGCCAAAGCCCCTGGCGCGATCGACCTCGGCACATGCGCAGACGCCAGCTGCAGACTCGATGTCAGCGCACCCGACGACGAACCAAGGGCACGTCTACCTTGAACAGGTGTCCTCTATGGAAGCTGCGTGTCTAATCAGGAGAATGCTGTCTTGCATGCGATCTAGGTCAAGCAAGCATTCGCCGACCAACCAGACCGTTTCAAGCAGTTCATCGCGCTTGTCAAGGAGTTCCAAGCCGAGCGGTAAGCTTGCCACATCGAAATCGTGTCCCGGCGCCTCACGACAGCACAGAATCGACACGAGGGACACCTTGCGCCGCGTGGCCGCACTCTTCGCGGGCCACCCCCGTTTACTCGACGGGTTTCGCGCATTTCTGCCGCCGGGATATCCGCTTCCTCCCGATATCGCTGCATTGTATCAAGTCAAACCCCCACTTGCCAAACAAAGTTGACATGCCATCAGTGCAATGTCGAAATTTCGACAACCTCTTCATCTACTAACACAACATGCAGCGAAACCTGGCATCTCTTCGATCAGTTGCAAGAATCACGACAGTTTTGCTGGAATACGAATGGGATCGACGTGAAACTACAAAGCGCGGGCAGACGGCGTGCCTGTCCTCGCTGGTCCGCCGTCGTCATGTGCCTGTATTCCACATGTGCTTGGGGAGGCGGATGTCGGCGACGAGATCGAGGGCTTGCTGCGCTCGATGGCGAATGGCTTCGGTGTCGGACCCGCAGAGGCGCACGAGAGCTTCCGTCGCGTTCGGGCAATGGACGAATCGACTTTTCTGCGTGTCATGGACGAGAAGGTTGATGAGCCACTGCAGCGCATGGAGCGCGAGGGTCGTGTCGCCGGATGCTGTCTCGAGCACGTTGACGAGCACAGGCATGTGCTCGCAAGAAGCCGCAAATGCATTCTCGTACGACAGCGCACACAGCGCCCGCACGCAGTCGACGCGCCACGCCACGTCGTACCGTCCACACGTTTCCACAAGCAGCGCCACCCACTGGTTGTCGTGGAGCATCATGTGCCGGTTCTCGGGATGGTAGAAGACGAGGTTTCCAACGAGCTGGAACACGTGCTGCTGGATCACGGTCCACTTGGACGGCGTCGGGCGGTGGCACAGGTCGCGCCACGAGCTCGAATACAAGCTGAGCCGCGTCTGGTTGTCGCGATTCCAGCTCAGTTGGAGCAGCGTCCACGCAGTGTGTTCGGCGAGAGAGAGGCGGATGGGCGTGTCGAGGATGGCGTCGTTGGTCATGAACGGCATGAGCAACTCAATCGCGCCAGCATCCCCGAGTTCGCCGCGCACGACGTCGTCTTGGGCAACGACTCCAAGCACCATGACGGCGGCAGCTTGGACACATACCTCGCCACACGCGATGAGATGCATGCACAACGTCAGGTACGAAGAACGCGACCCTGGTTGGGTTGGGGGAGGTAGCTGCTGGTGGAGCTTGTCGATTTCGTGGCTGTCGTTCATCCAGACCCGAAGCACGCTCTCCGGGCTGGCGTGGAGAATGTGGACCACACACAGCGCGAGATTGCCTTGAATGACATCCATCTTGCCATCTTCGACGGCGTCGCACAAGTACGGGGCCATCGACAGGTGCAGCACCAGCGCCAGCCCTCCCTCCGACACGAGCTGTTCAACCATTGCGACGTGTGTCTCCGTGAGGTTGGCGAGTGCTGAAGTGGCGAAGTCCAGGACATCCACGTCGCGGGACGACTTGAGCACGCGCAGCAGCGTCAAGATTCCATCCTTCGAGTACACAGCGTCTTGGTGGACTGGATTTTGAAAGGACAAGTTGGTAAGGCTGTGTAAGGCGTTGATCTGTATCGCTCGACTGGGAGCCGCCTCACACAGTCCCAGGAGCGTCTCAAGGAAGCCGGGGAAGCGCCCGATGAGGTGAATGTTGCGGGAATGCATGGCTAGCGCGGCCAGACTTCCAAGGGCTCCCTCTTGAATCGACAATGACACGTTTGGTTGGGGCGTGCTGAGCTCGACCAACACGGACAAGGCGCCGCTCGTGTCACCAATGGTGCGTACATTTTCTTCATTCACACAGACAGGAATCGGCGCCTGGCTGACCCAATACTCTGTTTCGCGGAGGACATGCAGGCGGTCGAGGTGGGTTTGGTATCGTTCGTGGGTGCCATAGTCTGCCGTCATGTTCATCTCTGCCGATGTCGGCGGCACGAGATCGTCGAAGTCGATTTTGCTTTCGTGTAGGGCATCCGCAGCTTGGGCGGAAAGCTTGTTGACCCAGTTTGTCCAGACTAGAAAGCGGAAATTGTACCGTCACGAAAGAAGCGGGTCGTGTCGTACTGGTTTTGGCTTGCCATCCGATGTGGCGCTGTGATTTCGGCGTGTTCCAGCTCAACTTGCCGAGGGATGTCGTCGCCAGGGTTCGAATCGTCGGGGCGAGCGAAGGCAGCTTACAGAGCTCCACGAGAATCTGCATGCGAAGTCACACGTGTTAGCCCCATTGCGGTCGTATCGGCATTCCACCGACCGGAATGGCACCAGCTTTGCGCAGGGCGTCGTTGGCATGGCCGCACAGTCCTGCAATGCCTTGAATAAAAAACAGAACCAGATCGTCGGCGCTGGTTAAGAGAAGCTGCGCTGAGATGCGCTGCCGCCACACTTCGCGGCGCAGTATGCGCTGCTCGGCACGATGTTCGGCCACCTTTTCTTCGAGCTTGAGCTGATGCTGAAGCTACAACGGACCGCACACAGCCCGTCAGGCATCCGCACAGGACGACTCCAAGAAACGAGCGATTCACTGGATGTACCAACACGTCGTTGTTGGCCTCAATGCTCTGCTTGAGACTCATGTTCCACATTTCGAGACGGTGGATGCGGCTTAGCTGCGCCATGATGCGCGCCTGCATGTCGTTGATCTCTGTAGCCCGGCGCTTTTCCAGGGCTGCGATGCCGCACAGCAAGTGCTTGTTCAACACCTACGCCACACGTAGCACCGTCAACGCTTCAATGCACGGTCGTTTCGGGGCAGACTTTGTGATCCGACAGCTCGCACTTGACGGCCTTGAGCCATTGCATGCGCATGACAGCGTCCGCCGACGTGCCTTCCAGCCGCTTCTCCAGGTCCTAAAAACACCACGACTCGATCGTATCAATTCAAATGAGCTCGCGTACCTCCCGGATGACTGCGTGTTCGGCAAGCAGGCGCTCGATGCGCAGGTCATGTTCGAGCTGCTGGGCTTGCATCTGGGCAACCAACACGTCCATTTGCTTCTTCAGGCTCTGAATAGCCTCGGCCTTGGTGATTTCCGTGAGCTCATCTGCCTACAACGACCTCAAGCACCCATCGATACCATACACATGCTTTGGATACCGCCTCGACGAGCTCCATCACGTGGGCTCTGTCCAAATCACTCTGGCGCTTGCTCTGGATGGCTAGTTCGAGGGCGACCTGCAGCTTGGCGATCTCTTGTTCGAGGTCGAACACGCGCACGGCGTGCTTGTCTTCTAGCGTCGTGATGGTGGCCTCATGACTACCACAAAGTTGTTGGAAGCTGGTGATTCTTGGCCACATAGCACGAACCGAAGTCGCTGCTGTGTCACAAGCCAGTCCTCTTGGGCCACCCATGGCGTGTTGTCGACTTGATCGTACGACACGAGCTGCCTCCACCGCTTTTCCCGCGTGTAGTTTAAGAGGAGCCACGCTCTCAGCACGTCGCGCTGACCCATGTCCCCCGTGACCTTTTGGCGCATCCAGACGCCTTTGGTCTCCTGGTGCAGCTGCATCTCTTCATCGAGCCGCCTCGTGTGAAACTCCAGCGCGTGCAGCTCCATCTCCATGAGCTTGACCTTTGCCGCTTCGTTCGATTGGATCGCCGTCGTCGTCATGTCGATCTTGGCAGCGTAATAAGCCATCTCTTCTTCCGCTTGGGCTTCCAAACGCTGTTTCTCCAATACGTTCATCGCTTGCAGCGGCAGGCGACCGGCCTGCTCTAGCTCCGCCGTGTATTCGCCCAAGTCATGCGTGAGCGCCACGAGGCGTTCCTCCCTGTGCATGGATTCCTTCGACTTGCATTCCGTAGCCCAAGTCGCACGTACCTCTCGACACGGTCCAACATCATCTTTGTGCGCCACACTTCGTACTCGCGCTTCTTGGCCCACAGGCCGGCACCGCGATCGACCTCGCACGTTTCCAGAGACTCGAGGAACGCAATTTCGTCCTTCATGCGATCTAACGTTGCCGCCGCCAGCCGCGTCTGCATGTCGGCGATCACGGCTGCCAGGTCTTCGCACTCGACGCGGCGGTTCACCTCCGCTTCTTCCCATGCCTTCATTTGCTGATCGTAGATTTCGAATGCAGTTAGGCGGTCATTCCCTACAATCGACCACATCAGAATCCTGCGCATCACATGGCGTCGGGCAGAGCACCTTCGTTGGATGGACTTGCCGTGGACTGCTGCAGCTGTGGCATTGGCGGCGCCTCCTTGATGGTTTCGAGCCGTGCTTGCGATGATTCCAGCGCCATTTTGCACGTGTCGATATCTTGTATTGCCGCTTCAAGTTCTTTTCGCGCTGCATGCATGTCTTTCTCAATCATTTCTCGAAATGCGTCGTGGCTCTCCCATGCCGAATCCTCGAGCTTGACGAGGGAATCGACTCGCCGCCGGACGACTTCCATGTGAAGGTACATCTCGTCTGCCTTGACGTGCATTTGAACCGCGGGCACAGCGCTGGCGGGCGTGCAAAGTCGTGGCCGGAGGGGGTCAACTTGTACATGAATCATGTCGTCGGTGATGCCGACGACGAGTTCAGCGGCTTGCAGTTTGTTTTTGGGCGGCGACGATGTTTTCTTGTCGGTGGCCTTTGCCTGAGCCTCCATGGCCGCCGCCTGGCGATCTCGCGCCTCTTTCACGAGCCGTTTGCGCTCGGCTTCCACTTGCGCATCGTACTCTGCCTGGACCATGGCGTGTTCCGAGTCAATGTGCCGGCGGATACTGGTCTGAAGCTGGTGGCTTAGCGTTTGGAGCCGCAAGTTCGACGCAGCCACGTCTTTCTCCAAATTTGCAAGCACAGCTTGCTCTTTTTGAACTTGGCCGCGCAGTTCGATCGGGTCGAGCGGTGCGTCGGCTTCGCTGTCGCTCGGCTCGCCCATGGACTCCCTTGCCGACCTTATAGATTGGCCGTCTGTTATCGCCGCGCCATGCACTTGGGTAGTTGTCGGTACGTCTTCGAGAGTGAGCTGCACTCCTGGCTTCCACCTGCCCTCGGCGATGTCCCATCCAGTCGGAGCCACGTACTGCATCGCAGGAGGCGGTTCCCAGCAGCTCTCTCCCGTCACTGAGTTGTAATAGTAGTCGTTCACAATGGACCACTGGCTTGCAATCGCCAGTCGTTCCTTGACGAGACGTCCTTGCTCGAGCAGCCGCAGTTGCATCGATGCTTCCTTCGCGATGGCTTCCTTGTCCTCGAACGACTCGGCGTGCTTCATGAACGGCCGCAAGATCGTCGGTGGTACGACGGCAAAGTCAGGCCATACGTCTGCTATCCACTCCTTCTCGCTGCGCCGGTCTTCCTTCTCTTTCGTCCACTTTTGAAGCAACGTCTTGCATTTAGCGGCACTCTCTCGCAGCTGTGCGTCCAGCGACGCGATCGCCTCATGCTGCTGCCTTGCCCACACCTTCATCTGAGGTAGCTTCTCGCGGGCCACATCGACACGAGCCTGCATGCGGTCCAGGCGCGTGTCGCACTCAGCTTGAAAGGATTGACACATCTCTTCTATCGTAGCAACGGCGGTCTCCATGAGCGTGAGTGGAGGGTCGTCCCCATCGCGTGGAGACTCCTCGACTTCATGTCCTTGAGATGCTTCTTGTATTAGCGCCATGTAATTGACCGCAATCGCGCTCGCGTTGTTGGACTCATCTCCGTCGTCCATGAATCGCGCGGCGCAATTGAAGTGTCGCTTCACTAGCGCATAATCGGTGTATCATTCCGACACGATCTGGTCAAATCAAGTTTTTTGCCAAAAATTCCTCTAATATCCTTCAACAGCACTGGAGAAAATGTATTCATGTAAGCTATCAAAGTTTAGAGTGACACATTTTTCCAGTCAAATTTTAATCAAAATTTGTATCAGAAACACTTTTTCTTGGATCCACGAAATTGACACCCTCGGAGTTTCTCCAATTCACGTGGCCTAATATTTTCATTGATTTCGCTCAAATTAAAATATATTCTTTCGGCCAGGGTTGGGTGACTGTCCGAAGGGTCATGGGCTGCTAGCCATCTAAACGCAACAACACCTTGACGTGCATGACGATGACAGCGCAAAATCTTCGCATCCGAGAGGGTGTAATCTAATACAGCGAACTCCATCCGCCACTGAGGGTTCATGCGCCAGCAGTACGAAGAGAAGAAGCGCAAATTGGAACCAGAAAATAAACGTTTGATGGTCGAAACAGCCGCCGGTGCCGCCCAAAGAATTGTTCCTTGCCGCGTCGAATCCAACGTCGAATATGCACATGACGGTAGAATGGTACGTGTACCTGCATTTGTGTGATCAAAGTGCATGGTTGCTTTCAGAATGAACCGGTTCGGGCTGGCGCGGCCTTGCCATCGTCGGGAACGACCAGTGTTGCGTTGTTCATGTCCATCGAGATGAAACATAATCTCCGCCCGAGGTTGCCT